ACATGGAACAAGGCATCTTACGGAGGAAAGAGTTAAGGCCATCCAGAACTTGCCACTCCCTTTAGGCCAGAAGCCACTCCATGCCTTTCTTGGCCTCATATCCTACTGTAGGTCATGGATTCCTGATGTTTCTTGGTTTATGCAACCACTCTACGATGCTCTCAAGTCTGAGCCCTTCCATCTGTCCGAAGAGGCCGACTCCAATTTTTTTTGGCTCTAAAACGCTTATTTTCTTCAGCCCCAGCCCTAGGTCTACCAGACTACGAGAAACCTTTCAAACTGTTCATGTCTGAACGCCAAGGCCATGGCACAGGAGTATTGGCCCAGTCCACATGGAGACTGCCTACGACCTGTAGGCTACTACTCATGCCGTTTAGACCCAGTGGCTAGAGGAGCACCGTCATGTCTGCGTGCAGTTTTCGCTGCTCAAGCTCTGCTGGATAAGACCTCTGATATCGTACTGGGACATGAACTTGTTCTTCTGGCACCGTATGCCATTGCTGCCATTTTAAACCAAGTCCAACCTAAACATTTGTCCACAGCGAGGCATCTTAGACTACAGTGTTCCCTCCAACTTCCTGATAACGTCACTCTCCTACGTTGCCAAAACCCTGAATCCGGCCACTCTCCTCCCAATTGCTGAGGGGGGTAATGAAGGTAATGCAGAAAGTGGAGAGGATGATGGAGCCACTGAGCCTCATAATTGTCTTGAAGTGATGAAAATGGAAATCTTCCATCTCCCCACAGTGAGTGAAACACCTCTGCAGGATCCAGACTTCACCTTTTTTGTTGATGGTTCCAGATATGCAGATGAAGGAGGCGAATATTATACAGGATTTGCGGTCACTACTGCAGACACAGTCCTACAGGCAAGAGCCCTATCGCCAGCAATATCTGCACAGGGAGCTGAACTTCAAGCACTCACAACAGCATGCCAGATGATGGAAGGAAAAAGGGCCAATATCTACACAGACTCCAGATACGCCTTTGGGATGGCCCATGACTTTGGACCCATATGGAAGGCAAGAGGATTTATGACTGCGGCAGGTACGTCCATAAGACATGGAGCAGCCATTGGACGACTGCTGGAAGCACTCCTTCTACCCATTCAAGTGGCTATTCTGAAGGTAAAAGCTCATGGGAAATTAAACTCTTCAGAAGCCAAAGGCAATAATCTGGCAGATTTGGCGGCAAAACGAGCGGCCATGGGACCACCAGAAATGGAAGGAGAGGTGACCGGAGAGTGGGAACCAATATTCACCTTACAGACCTTACCTGTGGACAGAAGCTACCTCAAGGAACTCCAAGAAGCAGCAAGTCCAGAAGAAAAAGAAGCTGGAGACGGAGAGGAGCTATTCTCAAAGACGGTCTGTTTGAGTGCAACAAGAGGCTTTGTTTACCCAGAATATGTTTCCAGCTGTAGTCCAGTGGGCACACGGAGCAGCCCATCTGTCAAAGAGCCTCATGAACTCTCTCATCAACAAGTACTATATAGCGCCTGGAATCACCACATTGACGAACAATTTTTTGCAGAACATGTGCCATCTGTGCAAATGCAATCCGGGACGCACAGAGAAGACACCACAGAAACACTTGGCCAAACCCCTATACCCTTTTCAAAGGATACAAATTGATCATATCCAGATGCCAAAGAGTGGGCGGTTGAGTACACCCTAGTGGTGTTGGACATGTTTTCCAGTTGGCCAGAGGCCTTTGCTGTAACTAACATGACTGCTAAAACAACTGCGAAGAAACTCCTCACTGAGGTTGTATGCAGATATGGGCTTCCAGAGGTGATAGAGAGTGACCAGGGCCCCGCCTTTCACAGCTTCAGTAACCAAAGAAATATGGGCGGCATTAGGAGTCACTCTGGCGTTCCATACCCCCTATCACCCCCAAAGTAGTGGGAAAAGTAGAAAGAATGCTAAAAATAGCCCAAGAGACTGGCATGAGTTGGCCAGACAGTCTGTTTATTGCCCTATTTAGTGTCAGATACACACCAAGAGAGAACACTCCCTATCCCCTTATGAGATTTTGTTTAGCTCAGCCCCCAGATTTGGTTGTTATTTTCCACAACAGTTGCAATTACAATTTGATGTGTTAACTGATTATGTGACTGTATTATCACGTGAATTAACCCGTATCCATGTCCAAGTGTTTTCTCCATTCCAGATTCTGAGTCAGATACAGGAACTCACAGCCTATTACCCGGAGATTGGGTATTAGTAAAGACATTTATGAGGAAAACATTCCCTTGAGCCAAGATATGATGGTCCATTCCAAGTTCTGCTGACCACAGCCCCTTCTGACAAGGTGGCCAGGAAGAACACTTGGATACACACGCCTCCCACTGCAAGAAAGTCCCGAACCCTGAGGAAAAGGCGTCATCTACACCATGACAACTATGTTGTATATCCTTTTTCTAATGAGTCTGACAGAGGCTCAACAGGTGGATATCACCGAAATAGGTGACACCACTATATTTTGGTACAACTCATCCAACACTCATGTAGCTATTTTCACCTTTGATTTCTGTAGTATAGATCCCATGTGGTGCTATGACCATAATCTATATGATCTTGACACAACGAGCATGTTCCGATAGTAGTGACCAGGTATACATATGTGTCATGGATGATTACTGGGGACCAAAAGATTAGAATCAGATTGGAAGGGATTTGGACTGGTGAGTATGCTCTTGCAAAGGCCATTATGCCTCTCCACATCCTAGCAGAAAATACCCCTGACCCAACGCCTGGCCGTAGGAGGAAACGAAAAGCTCCTTCTGGTAGTTTTGACCCACATGTGTATATAGATGCCATTGGAGTCCCAAGGGGGGGGGGGTGCCTAATAAATTTAAAGCCAGAGACCAAGTAAAGCAGGCTTCGAATCCCTGATTCCCATGATAACTGTTAATAAAAATGTAGATTAGATAAATTACATATACTACAACCAACAGAGGTTTGTGAATTACACCAGGGATGCCCTTCAAGGAATCGTTGACCAGTTAGCCCCTACATCCTACATGACATTCCAGAATAGGATGGCTCTGGACATGATTTTAGCAGAAAAAGGAGGTGTCTGTAAAATGATAGAAGGAACCGGAACATGTTGTACATATATTCCTGACAATACTGGCCCGAATGGTAAGGTTACTCTGTCTATAAAGAAATTGGAAGATCTGTCAGTTGAGTTGAAAAAGAATTCAGGGATCACAGACTTGTGGGATCAATATTTCAGTTGGATGAGTGGGTGGCAAAAGATACTTGCCCAAATAGGGGTAACTGTATTAATAATTCTGATTCTCCTGGCCCTGGTTGTATGCTGTGTTATACCATGTGTGAGGAAATTGATGAGCAAAGCTGTAGACAACAGAACACCCTACCTTCCTGAACCAGGAGCAAGAGGATCCCCACATGATAGATGAAGAAAAACCTTATACCCCATTACGGTCCCTCCCCGCCAATAGTAATCACACAATTTTGTAGGGATAGCATCTGACTTCCTTATGTACAAAGTCTGTGGCAAGGGAGGTGATGAAATAGTCATCACCTGTCTAACGTACAGCATAAAAGAGTTCCAAGGTACATAAGGACAGATGAGCTAGGTCTTATAGGGACAGAGTAAAAATAGTCATTTTAAGGGGGGACTGTGATGGATTTGGTAAAATGCCTATTTCGTTTCCTATTGAATATATATATATACGCTATTTCTATAAGTTTTATAAATATTTACTTTTATACTTTAATACATATGTTGTGTGAATATTTTCTGCCTGCTGGGCTTTGTGGTACTATAAGAAATCCTTGCTTAAGAAATGTCTGCTCACACACACAGACCCTCCCACCGTGTGATTTGGGAAACAAAGGAATGTTTTTCTCTCTATAAGATAAGATGGAAGAAGATCACACCTATACCATGACGGAGATTGTTTTCGTGTGGAAATGACCAATCAAAGACTAATATAATGCTTATGCTGTTGTCACATGACTCTTGCATCATTCTGCATATATAAGTTCACTTTCTCATTATAATAAACTAGAAGTATTCATAGACTGAACTTGTGTGTCAGCGTGAGTCCCTTCCAATGTGCGCACATTTCAAAGCTAGCGTCATAAATTAGGACAGGAACAGATAAGCACTGAACGATTTCAGTCCGTGACTAAAGCAGTTTCAGACAGCTAGCACAGCCCCGGCCAGTGGTAATACAGTAGAACATTGAGTGCACTCTTTCCCAGGAGCCACACCATAGACACAGAGGGTAACAGCAAGAACAATCTATACTGGTAAGTAGGAAACGTTACTGTCTGAGTAAGCTGCATTTTAACAGCACTATTTTACTCCTGCAGTCTTCCACTAAGAGGGAAATCCCAAGATTATCCATACACTGCCAGTCAACTCTTGCTGGGGGGTTGTTGCACAATTAAACACACACATGCTCTCTCTTGCTAGAAAAGAGACCATCTTTATCACTTCTCCACATCTGATAAGGTGTACCCTAAGACCCCATAAAATTACAGTGAGCAAAAACTTGTTGAACAAAATGTTTTTGCACAACTGCAAACCTGCTTCTCTATATTACTTCAGTTAATAAAAGTGTTTTACAAAGGGTTGGAATAGGACCCTATCTGGCTGGCTTGCCACCACTGTCGCCAAGAGGTATCCGGGAAGGAGAAGGCTGCTGGGGAGTGGAAAGCCAGTGCCACTTGTTGGTAAGCATTTTGGAATTTGCAATTGCTATTGCTATTTTTAGACTTAAAAGCAAAGGATAGGATGGAAAACAAGTTTCAAATTGACTTTAAGTCAGATCTAAACAAACATCAACAAAATGGTGACCTCCAGAAAGAAGAAACAGGAGCAATGCTGGATGCAATTTACAGCACACACTCATTTGGTAGCATAATTAATAATGTGGAAAGTATGTTCCTTGCCAGGGGCGGACGACAACTCATGGGGCCCCGGGCAATAGGGGATCATGGGTCCCCTGTGTCCTTGCCCAAACTCAAAAAAACCTATGAAAAAGGTACCAGGGGCATCTCATGGGGCCCCCTACTGACCCCGGGCCCTCAGGCAGTGCCCGAGTTTTCAAATGGTCAGTCCGCCCCTGTTCCTTGCTAAAGAACATATTTTTTTATCAAGTTTTAATTGGTAAAGTCCTGCTCTATAGGAGCAGTATTATCACTCGAGAACAGAAAGTGTGTTAGGACTACAGCTACCACTTCCCCTCTCCTCCTCTTCTCCATAGCATAGAGGAGATGGTCTGTAATCCTAACATACTTCCTAATAATATTATACATGATTAGGAAGAAACAGTCACACACCAATGATGTTGCTCCTGGAAAACCTTAAAGTGGTACTAAACACACACTGCTTAACACTGCTATTTTCTACCTACATGTATTCTATAAATTGGGGGGCAAGACCGAGCCGCGGCTCTATGTGTCTTATGGACACATAGAGCAGTGGCTTGGGGATGAGCACTTAGCGGTGCCCCCAGGGCCAGCAGCTTTCCTTGGGGGCACTGCTTGAGGGGGAGGAGCCAGGAATGGCAGCGGGCACCCAAAAGGAAGAGGATCGGGACTGCTCTTTGCAAAATCACTGCACAAAGCAGGTAAGTATAGATGTTAATTTTTATTTTATGACAGGTACTTATAAAGCTCTGTCAATTTATGCTGTGCTTTACATGTATATACATATTGTACATTCACATCAGTCCCTTACCATCGAAGAGCATACAATCTAAGGTCCCTATCTTACATTCATACATACACATACTAGGGCCAATTTAGACAGGAAACCAATTAACCTACCAGCATGTGTTTGGAGTGTGGGAGGAAACCTGAGTACCCAGAGGAAACTCACGCAGGCACAAGAAGAGCATGCAAACTCCAGGCAGGTGGTGCCGTGGTTGGGATTCAAGCCAATAACCCTAGTACTGCCAGGCGAAAGTGCCAACTATTTAGCTACTGTGTTGCCCCACTTGTTTATTTTGAACAAAATAAAGCTTTAGTATCACTTTCATTTACATTACCCCTTCTATTTCTGTATAGTGAGAAAAGAGGGACCCCTTAAGGCTTGGGACTTTAAAGGCTTAATTTGTACCACAAAATTATTTTAAAAAGTACAAACTTTTTATGTGTCAAAAAATTGTTGTAACACATAGACATACAATACAATACATCATTCAGAGTCATAGTACAGCACTATGACTCTGAATGTATTGTATTGTATGTTTATGTGTTACAACAATTTTTTGACAAATAAAAAGTTTGTACTTTTTTAAATCGTTTTGTGGTACAAATTAAGCCTTTAAAGTCCCAAGCCTTAGGGGGTCCCTCTTTTCTCACTATTCTGTTGTTTTGGGGATGTTGGCTTATGATCAGGAATCTCCCCTCTTTTTCTCTTTCTGTATGTGGATGATGGCTCTGTAATTATTTTAATAAAAAAAAATATATATTTAAGTACCTTTTTTCCTAATCAATATTCAGCTGTCAAATGACCCAGATCTTCCCCAGGCTGTCTTCAGGGAAACAGTGGCAGAAGGAGCTTCTAGTCCTCTGCTACTGGTCACATATTCAAAACAAAAAAACAGTCTTTGGGATACATAGTAAGAAATAAATAATTAATAGCAATAAATTGACACAAAAAAATATATATTTGAGATCAAATCTTTATTATTTTTGGCAACAACATGGTGTGGGTGAATTTCTGCCAGTCACAGGCTGTATCATGCCTCTCCAACCTGTGTCTTAGAATAACAGGAAGATGGAGCCTCCGTCAATCTACATGTAATATCCCACCCCACACTGCATTTCGCTGGTTAGTAGGCATAGAGAAGGAGAGAGAGGGAGTGGGTTGTCATTTACCACTGTGTATACGCCCACATTTGTAACTCTGTAGTCACATGGGCTGCTTAGATGTGATAGGGAAGACAAGCTCAGGTTAGAAATACACTGAAAACTGAGCATGTGCACTAGCTGCCAACACTGCTCTGCAAAATCCCCAACTGCAGTGGGGACATGGAATAAGAGGGAAGGATAAAGAACAGCAGGATCAGCAAGGTTTTTTTCAGAATACACAACATGAATCCCATAGCGAGTGAGTATGAACAACATGTAATACAGTATTTATTGATAGTTTTAGTGATGTGGGTTTAATGACACTTTAATGAGTCAGCACTACCACAAGAACAGAAAGTGTATTAAGACTACAGAACACCCCCCCCCCCCCTATTTTCTTCTCCATAGCATAGAGGAGATGGTCTCTAGTCCTAACAAACTTCCTGATAATGTTATTCAAGAATCGGAAGAAACAGCTACACACCAATGATGTCGCTTTTGGAAAAAATTAGTTGGCACTGCCACAAAAGGAAGTCCCAATCTGTATGACTAAGCCTGTAAGGGTAAAAGGTAGCAGAGATACTGTATATTCACTATACTTACTGAGCAGATATAACAAAATCCTTTCAATTGTTTAACAGACTAAAAGCAAGCAAATGATAGAAGTTCATTGTTAAGGCTTGTAGATGGGGACTGCTTTTGTGGTAGTGCTGGCTTATTAAAGTTTTCCATAAGCAACGTCATTGGTGTGTAGCCACTTCTTTGTATTTGTGTATGATAGATATATGGATCATGGACGAGCTCCCATAAGCCAGCACCTGGTATGCTTGGACTGAAGATAAGTTTATGGAGCTTTGCAACAGAACCTGATCTTTATGAAACTAATCCTGAAAATATTGTTTGGGATACACAGGGCAATACTGACAGAGTTCACAACTTTTTTTTATACTTGAACAGATACAACAAAATTCTTTCAATTGTTTAATTTAATTGACTAAAAGGAAGCAAATGACAAAACTTTGTTGTCAATCTTTACACATATTGCATTGTATAACTCCTACTCTGCCCATTTATCTTTACAAATATATATAGTTATCTTTAGAGACAGAGACTCTTTTAGAATGTTAGACATATCTAAAAATATAGGGAAAAAGTTTGCTGGAAAACCCGCATCATATACCACCTAATGATCATGGCATAAGAGTTTTTATCTTAGTAACATGAAATTGGATGGGGAATATGTGATACTTGATTGAGTGGGTGTTTACTAAACAAATGAGTGTCTTTTGACATCACTAGTCTGGTTTCATATCCTACACAATCTGATTCCATATCTTCTATCATCTGACCTTTTTTTGGTATTATTTTTAACTTTGTGGACTATAGATAACCATACCTGAACATTTTTATTTTTTTTTCTAAGGAGAACAGAGATAATTTAAATTTTCATTTCTGCAAGTTCACATTTCCTTTTTGAAATGAAACGAAAGTGCAAACCACTAAACGAAAGCCAAACCACTAAAGGAACAGTTAAAAACTACAGTATTTAGCAAACCAGACAGTCAATTTGTTTAATTTTTATTCTAGCAAAAACTAACACTAGCCTTGAATTACTTACCAGAGTTGCAGAATGTGTTGCTTTTAGATCCAGTAGGGGCAGGTAACATTGAGTAAGCATGTAGTCATATGATACACTATTTTGCCAAAAAGTATTGGGATGCCTGCCTTTATACGCACATGAACTGTAATGGCATCCCAGTCTTAGTCCGTAGGGTTCAATATTGAGTTGGCCCACCCTCTGCAGCTATAACAGCTTCAACTCTTCTGGGAGGGCTGTCCTAAGTGTGTCTATGGGAATGCTTGACCATTCCTCCAGAAGTGCAATTGTGAGGTCAGGCGCTCATGTCGGACGACAAGGCCTGGCTCACAGTTTCCGCTTTACTTCATCCTAAAGGTGTTCTGTTGAGTTGAGGTCAGGACTCTGTGCACACCAGTCAAGTTCCTTCACCGCAAACTCATTAATCTATGTCTTTATGGTCCTTGCTTTGTGCACTGGCATGCAGTCATGTAGGAACAGGATGGGGCCATCCGCAAACTTTAAATTGTCCAAAATGTCTTGGTATGCTGATGCCTTAAGAGTTCCCTTCACTGGAACTAAGGGGCCAAACCCAACCCCTGAAAAACAACCCCACACCATAATCCCCCCTTCACCAAACTTTACACTTGGCACAATGCAGTAAGGCAAGTACTGTTTTCCTGGCAACCGCCAAACCCAGACACATCCAATGGATTGTCAGACAGAAGAGTATGACTCATCACTCCAGAGAACATGTCTCCACTGCTCTAGAGTCCACTGGAGGCGTGCTTTACACCACTGCATCCAACGCTTTGTATGTCACTTGGTGATGTAAGGCTTGAATGCAGCTGCTCAACCATGGAAACCCATTCCATGAAGCTCTCTATGCACTATTGTTGTGCTAATCTGAAAGCAACACGAAGTTTGGAGGTCTTTAGCTATTGACTCTGCAGACAGTTGGCACCTTCTGTGCATTGTGTGCTTCAGCATGTGCTGACCCCACTCTGTCATTTTACGTCTACCACTTTGCGGCTGAGTTGCTGTTGTTCCCAGTTGCTTTCACTTTGTTATAATACCACTAACTGTTGACTGTGGAATATTTAGTAGCAAGGAAATTTCAGGGATGGGCTTATTGCACAGGTGGCTATCACAATACGACGCTTGAATTCACTGAGCTCTTGAGAGTGACTCATTATTTCACAAATGTTTGTAGAGGCAGTCTGCATGCCTAGGTGCTTGATTTTATACACCTGTGGCTATGGAGGTGATTGGAACACCTGAATCCAATGATTTGGAGAGGTATCCCAATACCCTTGCCAATATAGTGTATGTAAGATTTGATCATCCTCTGTGCTAAGAGAAATTGTGCTCTGAACGTTCTGATTCTTGTTTAGCCACTCATCTGTAGGGTGTTCTGGCCTGACTTAATTTACACATTTCCATACAGTTCAGCATCCCATAGATGCACCTACAAACTTATAAACACTGCCATCTATTGGCAGAAGAATATATCGCTACTGAATACTAATGTAGTTGTTGCACAGAATACGTGAACACTGTATTCCAACAAATGGCAATGCACATCACAAGCAAAAAAAATTCCAGCTCACTTAGCAGCCAGCCTGCAACAAAAACCAGATTGACCCTGGCTAACAATTAGCATTAAAAACAAGGGACTAAGGTGAACACCTTTGCAAATACTGTACATGTGTAAGCTGCAATGGCCACATCAAGGCACCCCAGTTTGCAACAGTCCTAACTATAATTTTGAGAGTTTCCCAAGTTGGGGCACATATAGCAGTGGACAGACTAAGGGCAGGTTTTTCTAGAGGGAGCCAATCCCTCCTTAAAGGTACAGGGATGCATGGGATACCTATCAAGGGCACAATGGCAGCTGAAGGTATCCAGTGCATCCCCACACCAATTCACCAACTATACAAACAAATGGCAACCACCCCAACCTATAACTGGTCTTTGCCGTAAAGAGCACATGGAAAGGCAACACATATCACAAACAAACATAAAATTCCAGCTCGGCTACCAGTCAGTCTGCAACAAAACTAAATTAATCCTGTCTAACAATTCACATTAAAAACAAGAAGTTTAGTCTCACAAATTTGCAAATATATGTGTAAGGTGCAGTGGCCGTGTCAAGGCGCCCCAGTTTACTGTGGTCCGAACTCTATATTTTTGAGAGTCTCCCAAGTTGGAGAACATACAGTACTGAATAGTTTAAGGGCTTATTTGCCTAGAGGGAGCTCACCCCTCCTTAAAGGGCCACCAGGGGTGGACTGACAACTCATGGGCCCCCGGGCAATAGGGGATCATGGGGCCCCTGTGTCCTTGCCCAAACTCAAAAAAGCCTATGAAAAAGGTACCAGGGGCATCTCATGGGGCCCCCTACTGACCCCGGGCCCTCTGGCAGTGCCTGAGTTTCCAAGTGGTTAGTCCACCCCTGAGGGCCACACCGTCACCCTTCGAAAATACGTTTACCTGCTCAATTTACATATTGATGTGTTGTTTATGGGTTTTTCAGCACAATGTCGCTGATTATTGCAAGACCATTTACACCCTGAGCTTGATTAATGTAAAATCCAATAAAACATTATTGAACCAAAAAAATAAAGAGGCCATTTTATTTGCCCATGCAGGAGAAACTAAAAGGGTCACTCAACCCTCTTTCCCTCCGTGTCAGGGCTGGAGCGGTGGAATGGTCAGGCAGGCCTTATGGTAAGGTCACACACCGACTGGCGACAGCCTCTGGTGACCCACAGACCGGAGTCCCTCAGGACGCGGAGTCTAAGCCCCAGGCTGCTCTTCACCAGGGCCCCTGATGGTGGGGATGGACTTGACGCAGCCTGAGACCAGGTCGTGACCCCCAAGTAACCCCAGCTGCGGTACGGCTGCCGCCAATGGCGTATAGTGGGTAGGGGCCAGATGGAAAGACGTATAGCGTGGTCAGACAGGCCGGGTTGATAACAGCGGAACAGACAGTACAAGACGGTAGGCAAGAATACTCAGCAACGGGAGGACAGGTAATGGGATACAGCAGAGAATGGTCAGAATGGGCCAAGGGTCAGAGCAAGAGGAGTCTTTGTCAAAGCCGAGTCGGTTTCCAGGAGAGCAACGGGAGCTGAACAAGAGCTTGGTGCAATGCAACATACAGGACACAAATGCAAAGAACGGCTGCAACCGACAGACTTAAATGTGATAAGCCGCACCCTCCTGGGAGGAGCTGCAGAGGACTGAGAGCATAAAGGATCCCACAATGCTTAGCAGACACCCAAGATGGATGCCAGCACATGGAGCAGCACAAACCCTGAGGAAAGGTAGGACCTTGACACTCCAGCATCATTTATTCGCCTTTCCTGCACCACTTCAGCATGTGCTAAGTATGTGACTCATCTTCCTCTCCCAAGTGAAAAAGAAACATGCCTCATGATTGGTCTAGTCCTGTCATGTGGGGTCGAGGACATAGCCCTGTGTGAGCTCTGACAAAACAGTTTGGAGTTTACACTGTTCTTTCTTTCCCCAGTACTGCTGACAGAACAAAGCAGTATAGAAGAAAATAAAATATATCTGTACTGCTGGAAAAAGGACATGGCAAGGGTCACTGTTAAAAAAAAGTGGGATTGTAGATGGTTTCATATTTACAATAGAGCAATTTAAAGTACAGGAAAGCACTTCCAAATGGTCATTCAAACATGGTATGCACTTATCCTATAGTATATGTACCTTATCCTGTAGACCCTCTAGTGGTAAAAGTTATATCTCCTATTAATGGATTTAAATGTGACACATTTTGCAGGAGTTTTTTTTGGGGGGGGGGAGGGAAGCGGGTTGGTATAATGGGCTTACTGTTCATTGAGCTGTTAAATAAACTGCTCATATTATTTTTTCTTTTTTTGGGTTTAGGTTACATTTCATTTGGTGGTTTATCTTGATGGTGTATTTCAATGTATCCCTTTCCTTTGATCTATCTGCTAAGTCACTATGCTAAAGTACTCTCTTTCCTCATCCCACTACACTCCTTCATAGGAAAAGTAGTGAATAAATACTTTGACAAGTGCAGAAATTTGCTATTCTGTACTTGAGATCCAAATACTTAGGCTAGGTTCACACTAGCTCTGTCAGCAGGCGTCAGACAGGCATTTGGGAAGCGTTTTAACGCTTCTCAAACGCCTCTGAAAATTCTGCACATGGCAGCACACAGTGCTGTTCACACGGAGTCAAAGCGGAGTCAAAGCGGAGTCAAAGCCTCCCATTCAAGTCTATGGTGCCGCTCCGCAAACACCTGGCCGGCTTTTGCAGTGCGGTTGCGACGTGGTTGCGGAGCGTTAATACCATTTAAAATTCATTATAGGCATTTGTGGTGCAGTTTTAAAGCTTGGCAAACGCCTATCAACTGCCTCAAAACTGCGCATAGGGCGTTTTGGGAGCGTTTGCGGAGCATTAAAAACACTTCACAAACGCCTGTCTAATGCTTGTTAAATGCTATTGGGGAGTTTGGCAAGAGTTAGAAATAAAGTCAAGTGTGAACGAGCCCTTAGAGTGAACCTCAGATTGTAATGTAGTCCAATGAGTGGGAAAACTGAAAAAATTGACTCTATTACACAAACCAACTAAAGTAGTTTTCTGTCTTGCTGGTAAAGTGCCATTTGGTGTTTCAACATGATTTACCATGGTGATTTAGATTTAGGCTGGCTTCACACCTGTGCCCTTCTGTTTTCAAGTATTTTTCTGTGCATGCTTTCATTAAAGTGATTGTAAAGATTAAATGGTTTTTTTTTACCTTACTACATTCTCTGCATTAAGGTAAAAAACCTTGTGTTGGGAGGAAGCTCTGGGAGGGGAAAGGATTTGTGCTAGAAGGTGGGGTATGAGGTCAGTTATGTGCTGGTGGAGCACTTTGGGAAGGGAAGAAGTGCTAGAGGGTGGGGTGGAGGAGGGGGTTGGATATGTGCTAGGGGGGCACTTTGGGAGGGAGTGGACTTGTGTTAGAAGGTTGGGGGCTCAGATATGTGCTGGGGAGGCCACTTCGGGAGGGGAAGGGAGGGGAGAGATCTCTTGCTAGAAGGTGAAGTGGAGAAGGTGGTTGGATATATGTTAGGAGGACCCTTTGAGAGGGGAATAGAACATGTGCTAGAAGGTGGAGTGGTGGCAGGGGCGGACTGACCATTTGGAAACTCGGGCACAGCCCAAGGGCCCGGGGTCAGTAGGGGGCCCCATGAGATGCCCCTGGTACCTTTTTCATAGGCTTTTTTGAGTTTGGGCAAGGACACAGGGGCCCCATGATCCCCTTTTGCACGGGGGGCCCCATGAGTTCTCAGTCCGCCCCTGAGTGGTGGTGTCAGATATGTGCTGGGGGGGGTGCTTTGGAAGGGGAGAGAACTTGTGCTTGAAGTTGGGGTAGAGGAGGGTGTGGGATATGTTCTGAGGGGGTGCTTTGGGAGCAGAGTGAGCTTGTGCTCAAAGGTGGGGTGGAGGGTTTTCAAATCCAACTCTCCCTTCTACCATAAGTCCACTCCCCTCTCAAAACATTCCTCCCAGTACATATCCTCTTACCCCCCCAACTCACTCCTCCAAGTGTACACCCTTGTTACCTGCCCCACTCCACCCCCATTTACGGTCACTGTGTTCCCCTCCCCTGTAAGTCTCCATCCATATTAAACTGCAGACCTCAGATCTTCAGTGCGGCTCATGCAGAGCGGTGTCCCTCCTCCCTGGTTTCCTCCTCTTGTCAGAGCTGAGGAGGATGCAGCTTCAGTCCGCTTTTGGACTGGGTGAGCCGCACTAACTATGCCATGTTGTAGGAGGGTGGACTACGCTAGGTCAGGGTCAATCACCCATGTACATAGGGTACATTTGGTTTCTGTGAGCGCGCTCATCAATGTTGGGATCAGGAGGGGCGGAATTCAGGTTAAATCAAACTTATGGCTGCACTCCAATTTAGAGATGAGTCACGCTACCATGTGTAGGTGTATGACCTACAGAGTTTTACTGTGTATGCACTGTCCTGTGTTCCTGCACACCTTGTCTGTGAGCTGTTGCATTAGGAAGGACACCACTGAGTCTATGCTTGCTCTACCTGTCCATTGTACCTCAGTCACCTCACTCCTAGTGATAGATTGGGGTCCCACCGAGTAAGGACCTCATGTGTGCTTCTATTAACTCTCCTAGTACCGTGCGGCAAGACCATTGTCTCCAAAACAGGGGTTTGGTTCAGGAAGTTTTGGGAAGTAGACCGCTGGGGGAGGGAGTCAGTGCACCGGCCACCTTGCTACTGGGAAACACCTCAGCTAAACCAGGTACCACGCATCACAATAGGCTGCTTGTTCACTTGATACCAGTCCCTGGTTACCTGTGGCAACTGTTTACTTCCACCACACCTTCCGCCAAGTTTATCCCCAGTGACGTATCATCCATGTGTGTAATGTGTGCAGATGTGTGCGAGTTTCAGCGCTGAGCTCCTGTAATTGGCCTGATAGGTTCATACTAGTGTGAGTGCCTGGAAAACCTTCCCCACATCTTTTGTGGGGTGTCTGGGGTTCCACGCGCTGCTATCTCTCTATGGCAGCCGGCATATTTCCCCACTGGCTGCCTTTACAACACCCTGCAGAGTGAGTAGGCAGGCTGGCCAAGGCTGGGGAAAGGGTTTATAGGTTGTGCCTCTATTCCCGGGCTTTTTGGACCCTGCCTACCCACCCAGTAATATAAATATATAGGGGGTTAAGGCTGGGTCCAGGGGCTCCCTTTCAATTCAAAATTGTGGAGCTACATAGGGGGACTGCTGTACCCTGCAGTCCACCTGAAGACACCGGAGAACCATCAAGTCATGGATAAATGCCAGAGATGGAGTAACTCCTTGTGAGGTATGCCTGGGCCACCAAATTGAGTTAGTCAGAAAACGTTATGTTGTACTATTCATGTTGAAAATGTGTTACAAAGTTGTTAGTACATGTTTCAGCCCAGGTATAGAAGATTCCTTGTACAGATAATAAAACTCATGGCATAGTCTTACCATGAAAGGGCCATTATTTTGCCTCAGTCTCGAGCATTCAGAATGTCATATTGGATAGATGAATAAGGTAAGCAAATCAGTAATGCCACCCTGTCACCTGTCATGTAACAAGCACATATATTGCTACAATAGGGTAGGTTTGGATCCTGTGCAACCATTATGGGTACATTCAGTAAGACTGACAGCAGGAGTACTGGTAATTAATAGCTAAAGGGGCAGCACAGTGGCTACGTTGTTAGCATTTCTGCCTCGCAGCACTAGGATCATTGGTTTGAATCCCAACCATGGCACTACCTGCCTGGAGTTTGCATGTTGTGCCTGTGTGGGCTTCCTCCAGGACTCTGGTTTCCTCCCACACTCCAAAGACATGATGGTAGGTTAATTGGCTCCTAACTAAATTGGCCCTAGTATGTGAGTTAGGAAGCTTAGACTGTAAGCTCCTTGAGGGCAGGGACTGATGTGAATGTACAATAT